CTTGCTCCAGTACAGAACCAATATTAATAAGCTCTTTTATCTCTTGATCCTTTTTAATAGCACAAGCATCCAAATTATCATAGTGATTTTGTTCCTGTTTGTGTAGACTATTTAATTTCTCTTTCAGATTTGCATATTTCTTCCTTGCAGTTTCCTTACTTGCCTCTATGTTCTCAAGTTTCATTTGGAAGGCCTCCAACCTTTTTCTTAGTTTAAAGAGCCTCTTCCTTTTCTTTTTATTTTCAATTTCCAACAACTGTTGACTGAAACGTTGTTTTTTTAAAATTTCTTCTTGTTGCTTTAAACTTCTAATTTTGGACTGTAGGGTTGGATGTGCAGCTTTTCCGCTTGGATTTAATGGGTCAATAAACAGTTCCAATGAATACTGCCCTTGCATTTTTGTGTCAAGGTCTGCATTTGAGTCAACTTCATCCTCAGAGTCATCAGTGGACGAGTTTTCAGAGCTACTGCTTCCATCATAAATTGAACATAAACAACTTGACTCTTCACTGTGATTAACTGAATAATAACTAGAAGACACAGTGATTGAGTTTATTGGTATGAACAATGCTTTTACTGGTCCATTTGTTTTTTCTTCAGCTGCTTGTTTCAGCAATAAATTTGAACACTTCTGGACTGTATTCATTGTTTTGTTTTTTATCTAATAATGTTGTTGTCATAGCATGAAAAGTTATACTAAGTTATCTAAACCCAGCTCTTCAGAACTGGAGGTTAGGAACAAATTTATTAACTAATAGTTTCCAGAAAAAATGCATTGTATACTCAAATCATCCTTAATTTTTAATTCACAATGAGAAATCTCCTCTATACCTTTGACATGCTGAAGAGTTCCAAATTTTCAAAAATTAACATGATTTTTGAAGTATTAACTTTAATAGTGGAAAGTGGGGGGGGGGAGGGTCACAACACAGCCTAGATAGGGTTTATATCCATGTTACTAAACTAACTGTCCTGTAACAATTAGCGGAGACCACAGACTTATCAAATTGTTTTACTTCTTTGTAGTTTTTTTTACATAACTCAAGAAGTATAGGTCTGAGGCTGTTGAAATTTTCTGACTTTTCCTACATACCCAAAGCCCTCCCTTTAGGCCTAAAACCGAGCTTTAATACTAACTGCCTGAGTCCTCAGGCACACTGCCTGAATGACCGCTTTTTCCTGTAACAAACTAAATCTTTGTTTTGACCCACTTCCACTTGTCTGATTTTGATAAAATTTAGCTTTTTGGAAAGCCTTTGACATAAGGAAATGAATTGTACAAGTTTTGCGAACAAAAATTGCAAATTTTTTGCAAACAACCTGTCAAAGGAAATTTTCACATTTTTAGTTTTTTTTTTGATTAAAAATCATGTTATTTAAAATTTTGCTAATTTTTTTGCATATTTGAAATGACATGGTCAAGGGCTTTTCAAAAGTGTATAAATTTTCATTTTTTGGACAAATTTTTTTTTGCAAACATTTTTACTTTATAACTGGATTTTGCAATAAAAAATTTAATTTTTGCAAATTTGCAATTTTTTTGCAGATTCTAAAAGTAGAGCACAAGATCTTTCCAATGATGTATCATTTGTCATATTTGGACATCAAACATGGGATTTAGAGGGGGGGGGTTAAATTGACCCCCCCCCCCAGCATATCCTGGTTTTCAAGTACCCCAGCAGAGATAGGGTTAAATTAAACAAATAAAAATAATTGTTCGCAATTTTTTAAATAAAATATATTTGGATAATACAAAAACATTTAGGCATATGACACAACACACTTGTTAAGTCTATAAAGCTATTTTTTCTATTTGAAATAGAAATTTCATTCAAAAAAATATATTTTTAAAAAATGATATTTTCAGTTAAAACTATTAACTTTAACGGAAAAAAAATTAAGTAACAATTATTTATACTTTCTTTGAACTTTATTGTTGATATATTTATTTTCTGAGCAAGTTTATTACATCAAACAGGGGTGGGGGGATCACAGTTTATCAAGAACTTTCTCACTTGGGAAAGTGTATTGAAAAAGTAGATTTTTTTTGAAATCCTTGTTAAAACAAAACTGTTAGATTAAAAACAGTCTTTTAATAAAAATTCAAAGACTTATCTAAGCAGGTAGCTTAAAAAACTAAATTTAAAAGAAAGGTCATTTTAGAGGCTGTACGTGTACACTCTCTTTAAATTACACAACAAAAACATTGCATTTAAGTTTCTTTAAAAATCAAATCCTATTTATTTAAAAGCCTTCTTGTGATACCACACAATCATAATCTCATCCAATCCAACAAATATTCTAATGGTAGAGTTTGTTGGTTCAAATTAAACAACTTTAAACATGATGGGGATAAATTTAACAAGTTGATTTGATTAACATTTAGCTGTCACAAACTTCGAGTCAGAAATTCATAAATAGCTTTATTAGACATCATGTTACTGGATTCTTTGTTAATACTTAAAACAAGTTTGACTTCCCTCTTTAATCTTCATGATCTCTTCAGCCACATCATATATTTGATCTGCTATTTGTATTTAGTGCATATCCATGAATACATTTTTAAACACGCTATTACTAAATTTCACAATTCAGGATTTTCCAACTTCTTTCTTTGCTTTTTTAACAGCAATTTCTTCATTCAGAAATCTTTTCCATCTCATTTTATGCTCTTCTATTTTTTTACTCATGGCTTTATTAACAGAGATGCCTTTTGATGCAGCAACAACTCTTATGTTTAATTCAGATATTTTCTCCCTTAATTGTGAAACTTCTCTTTCCACATTTCGTCTTCGGCTTTCTTCATGTTCAACTCTCATAGACAACATTTTTAATCTTTGAGTCAGTGGATATATTTCATATTGCAAATACTTGGCTTGTATCTTGTAGTTTGTTTTCTGTGAAGGCCCATCTCGAATTACAATGGGATCAATTTTTTCTTTAAAGATGGCAGCTCTTTCTTTCTGAAATGCATTTAACTGTTGTCTTAAATGTGCATAATCTAGTTCCAATACAGAACCCAAAGTCAGAAGTTCTTTCCACTCATGTTCTTTTTTAGATGTCCATGCTTTTAGACTAGCATAATAATTCTGTTCTCGAATCTGAAGATTATTTAACTTATCACTAAGATAAGAGTGTTTCACTCTTGCAGATTCTTTGCAAACTATCAAATTCTCATGTTTCTTACTTAGTCTATCCAACAACATCAGTTTTTTGTTGTTTTCTTTTTCAATTTTTTTGTTCAATTTTTTCGTTTCAATTTCCAACTTCAATTGATTGATACGTCTCAGTTTAAGGAATTCTTCTTTTTCCATTAATTTTTTTATTTTAGACTTCAGAGTTGGATGTGATGCTTTCCCATTTGGATTTAAAGGGTCAATAAACATATCTAAAGCAAACTCTCCTGGAATTTCTGCATTTGGGTCAACATCATTCTCAGACTCATCACTAGATGATTCCTCTGTACAGCTACTTTCATTCCTAATTGAACCAAAGCCACTGGAATCTTCACTGAGATGTAAAGAATAATGGCTTGCACCGACAGGGCTTGGATCTCTGAGCATAAAAAGATCATAAATGTGATTGTCTGTTTTATTTGGCTCTACTTTAGTTGGTTGTTTCAAATTCTGTAGACTTGATTTTTTCTGAGGTTTCATTTTGAACCTTTGTTTTTGGTATTCTTCCACAAGGGTAAAATAATATTAAATTTGTACGGTGTTACTTTCATAGCATGATGAGTTTCACTGATTGTATAATAGAAACTGTAAACTTGGATAGATTTCTTTCCTAGTTACAAACCAATCAAGGCACAGAACACACCAAAAAAAAATTATATAAAAATCTCTCAACAGGGGAATTATGTTAACTTCAAAAATATTTCATTTAAAACAAAAACAATTTTTGAGTATAAAAGAAAATATTTTCCTAGAACTCGACAAATTGGGATATTGATTATCGAGTTAATTACACTAGATGTAGTTGTCACAACAGAGGGGGGGGGGGGTGGTAGTGTGACTCAACCTTTCTATTAGAAATTTCTTAAGTTCTCCTGCTTAAAGGGACTGTACACATGTTTTCAAGTGACCCTACATTTGACTCTGCTGCATAAAATTTGCGAGTCACTAATAGAGAAACCAAAATTTTAAATTATCAAGATTTAAATAAAAAACAAGAATATTATTTATCATGATGAAGAGACTGTTATGAAAAGACATGACCTTCTTGAAATTAAATGTAACAAAAAACAATTTAAAACGTCCCTTAGTGAGACTGAAAGTAAAGAAGAGCAAACTGATCCAATATTTTCTGGTGAGACATAATTATCAACTTTTAGTCAAAAAGTTTGAGCACTTATTTTCCCAGAAAATGGTCTCTACCTTCCCCCTATCCACACTAGATCTTCTACATTTTTCTAGATTTTTTTTCCCTTCCCTAATCCATGTATTCCTCCTTCCCTTCTGTTCTTATCCACTTTCCCATTTTCATACCCTTTTCTTTTTCCTTGCCTTCTTTTCAATAAGAAAAAAGAAAACTGAACAGGAAAAATTGGAAGGGAAATCTCTGATGATAAGCTTTATACTATCAATTTTTTCCGTTAGGGAATGGCGAAAACATTAGAGATGGGGCTAGGAGACGTCCCCCCCCCCCATTTATTTCACCCTAAGTGGTAGATAGAGAATATCAGGAAAATGTGATATAACACATGTGTAAACAATACAGAGTTCAGAAAAAAGGAAAGCAAGATCCTCTCAACATAGTTCTAAAGTTTGCATGCAGCTTGGGTCAAACTGCAAGAATGTCCCAAAAATTTCTTTTTCAAAATTAGCCAAAATATATGATGCAAGATGTACAAACAAGAAATTAAGAAATATCAAAATATTTGCATCTTGTCATATAATATTTCAATAATAATTTTAACAATTTGAAAAAATAAATATGTAAAAAAATACATATAGCATAATTCAGTTTTAAGTACCATTAATAAAAATGAATAAACTAACCTGAACTGACTGACCAAATGACTGTGGTGTCTGTAGTTTATCTATGATTGACTGCATATGAGATTTATGAGCTGAATCCCCATACAGCAGGCTAGACCACTGATCCGGGGCTATTCTTAAACCTCCTGGAACAAGCATTGTGTGAAATCAATCAAAAAAAAATAGTCAATCAATTAATCAATCAATCAATCATTTCGTATTATATGATACTAGCTGAAGTACCCGTCGTTGCCCGTGGAATTTTAGAAACACTAAATTAAAAAAATTTGGATTTGAAAAAATTTTAATTTTGAAAAAAATCTAATTTTTTAGCCAATGGTACCCCCATGGTAGAAATGACTTTCCTCCAAAAATAGTAATAGTCATACCAGTCTTACCAACAATTAAACTTTAATTTCTAATTTTTATCCCGAAGTGATGGGCAATATTTTTTAAAAAACATTTAAAGAATACAGTTTTTGTGTGTCACAACCTTCACAAGCTCAATGTGTAGAGCCTTCTAAAAGTCGAAAAAAAAAACCCTAAAAGTTCTAGATTAACAAAGTTAATACTTATCACTAACCAAAGGTGGGACAGAACCCAGAGATTGCACAAATAATAGAGAAATTAAAGGGACTTTAGACCAGTGCTCAGGATCCATTTAATTTTGATCCGGATCAGAATCCAGGTTGCTTCTTAAAAATTTACTGAATTTGGTTTAAAAAGCAGAATTCTAAAATTTGTTGTCTTATTTTTTCGCTTATTTTTATGCTATAACTTGATGAACCATTTAGAAATCATGAAATTTTATAATCTCTCTTTTTAATTGTTCAGATTTTGAGAGTAATTTTTTTTCCGCAGTTTTTGGTTAATATTTTGCCCCTTGGATCCGTATCCAGGAAGCCGAAATCTTGTGGATCCAACGGATCCGGAACCTGAACACTGCTTTAGTCGTAATTTCAAGTGACTCTCAGTTTGTAAAGTACAGTGTATATGTCCTGCAGGTGAACAAATGTTCATTGCGCAGTAGACAGCGATTTTAAAAAATTTGAAGGAAAATATTTGTTTACAGTGACTCCCAAAAATAGATAAAATCTTCAAAAAAAACCAGTTTGCTTACATGCATATATTGTATATCACAATAACAAGCATTTGGAGGATAAAACAAGATTAACTTCGTCATCCTTGAACCGTCAAAGGTTTCAATCCGACATGTCCCTCAACAAGTGGAGGATTAACTGAGATAACGTAAACACTAAACAGTCCTTTTAAAGAAATAGTTTTAAAAATAAGGATGTACATTGTATATATTTTACAGCATAGCAAAAATATGTAATAGGCTCAGACAGAATGAGAAAAAATAAAAAATAAAAAGGATAGAAATGTTGGAAAATTGAAGGTAAAAATTCAAGAAAAATATCTTTTCACATCTTGAAGAAAATCTTTTGATTTTTTAATTTAAGTAAAAAAAAATAAACTAAAAATTAAGAACCAAATATGAATTGCATTCAGAATAGCACTAAATATATATTCTTTTACTTTTGGGCCAAGTGCAGTTTAATACAAATCTGTTTGATGAATGAGTGAGGGAGGGGGGGGATAGCTTGCTAAACTGTCTGAGTTTACTACCTGGATAGCTGTCTAGACTACATGGGAGACTACCTGGGTTACTACCTGGATAGCTGGCTAGACTGGATCAGAGCATTTTTAGAAAAAAATGATTTTACCGGTTTAAAATATATCTAAGATTTTACCGGTTTTTAAAATATATCTAAGATTTTACCGGTTTTTAAAATAAATCTACCTTAAAACAGGATGCTCGGTACAGCAACTGAACAACATGACCTAAACAGGTTTAACCTAGGTTTGAGGTATTGAGGATCAAACTACGTCATATTTTCAAGTGACCCTGGCATGGCATGTCAGGTTAACAACGATACCCCATAAATCCTTTGCTGATCAATAATGCATTGAACGCGATATCCTTGCGTTTTCAGCGTGAAAATTTACCATTTTCACTTGGGGTTATTCAATAAAAGTGATTCATGGATTTCAAGTGCAAAATTGTCGGGAAAAATTTTAAAGAGACCGTTGTGAATAGGACATGCCACTATATTAAAAAGGGTCAGTTAAAGTTTCTTCGCCATCCCTTCTGAGATAATTCCAACATTAAAAACTTGTATCCTCTTTGAATCGTTTTGAATAAAAGTATAAAATATTAAAATTGAAGAAAATTTAAGAGAGAACACGTTTGAAAAAGTGAACATTTCTTATTCTTCTGGAGGCTATTGAAAAACTCTGAACTTTCAAACTGTACCAGGGAAGTACAATTTCTGCTAAATTATCAAAACTGAAAAACTTAATTTAAAAAAGAGGGGTGGGTATATATGTGTAAAGTGTATTGGATAATGGATACCTATTGAAGTTTTGCTGGCCTGTGGGAAATGTGGCTCTAACCGTTGAACAACAAACATTACTAAAACCTTCCTACTGAGAGCAGAACCCTCCTCCAGGGCCAACAGAACAAGTTTCAATACTTCCTCCTTAATATTCAAAAAATATTAATCTTTTTTATTATTCAGAGAAGATTACCCCTTATCTAACCTATTCTTTGTACCAAAAATTACTTATTTCCCCCAACTCAGCAAATAAAACCTTTAAATGCTCCTTGCAGCATGTCTAAGACTCGGGGGGGGNTTAAGAAAATAAATATTTAAGGGACCGAATTTGATGAATTTGAGCTGCGTCGCTGAACAACCTTCTGTCAGATCAAATTTGAACCACCTATTCAAAGTTGTTAATGAATGATTGGAATCGGTAATTCAAATTTGAACAGACAGTAGGCACTTAAAATTCATTAAATTCGGTCCCACGTCTCTAACCTGCATAGCAGGACCAAGGAACTGGCAACCCCTAGCTCTAACAGCTGCCCATAGGTTGGCACTCAACTGCTGAGGATTCTGATGTTGAAGGATGAGTTCTGTAACACTCCGCTCTCCCAGAGATCTGATTAATTTTGTTTCATCTATTATTTTTTATTAATTCATTCAAATAATTTATAAGTAGAGATAAACCACTGTCAGCAGCACCCCCTATTTACTGAGATTTTAGCCTATAAAAGGGAGAATGCAATAGAAAATATTTATAGCTACTGACCTGGCTGATCTGACCCCTCTTGTTCTCCCCTCCTCCTGCAGCAGCTGGCAGGTCACCAGGGTTATCAGCTTCCTCTGCATTGGCCTGAAATCAGGTTACAGTTGTTAAAAAATAATTGTTTTCTTCTTTAAACATTAAGAATTTAATATTTTTTGTTGTTAAATTAATGAAAATGAAAAAATGTTTTTGGGAAAACGCATTATTTTATTAATAAAAAGTCTAAAAACAGAAACTTGCCAGTTAAGTACTAAATTCATTTTTCCCCCTTAATCATTAAAACTAGCCCCCCCCCCCCTCCTCAAAATACATACCCCTGGGCTAGCCCAAGGTTTCTGAACAAATTTTTACTTAAGAGGAATTTACATCAAAATGCTAAAATATCCACAAAATGCACATATTTAATTGACTAACAACTTCTTTTTAAATTAAACGACTGTTTTAAATTTTTGTCTGTGAATGACTATTTCTTCTATCAGAGTCTTTAACAGAAATTAGATTTAATTGCACATGTGAAGAAACAAACCTTTAAAACTTTGAAGATTCTTCGTCACCTAAAAGCCTAAAAAGGGATGAAAATTTAAAAAAATTAAGGACCTGCCTTTAGAGTTAACCTTAAATGTGTGTATTCCACCTGGATAGCTGGCTAGAAAGCCTGGATTTACTACCTGGATAGCTGGCTAAGCTGTCTAAGTACTAACTGAATAGCTGGTTAGACTAGCTGTGGATAGCTGCCTTGACTGGCTGAGTTTACTTCCTGGATAGCTGGCTAAGCTGTCTAAATACTAACTGAATAGCTGGTTAGACTAGCTGTGGATAGCTGCCTTGACTGGCTGGGTTTACTACCTGGATAGCTGACTAAGCTGTCTAAGTACTAACTGAATATCTTGATATACTAGCTGGGTTTATTACCTGGATAGCTGGCTAAGCTGTCTAAGTACTAACTGAATATCTGAATATACTAGCTGGGTTTACTACCTGGATAACTGGCTAGACTGGCTGGGTTTACTACCTGAATAGCTTGCTAAACTGTCTGAGTTTACTACCTGGATAGCTGTCTAGACTACATGGGAGACTACCTGGGTTACTACCTGGATAGCTGGCTAGACTGGCTGGGTTACTACCTGGATAGCTTGCTAGACTACCTGGGTTACAACCTAGATAGCTGGCTAGACTGGCTGGGTTACTACCTGGATAGCTGGCTAGACTGGCTGGGTTACAACCTGAATAGCTGGCTAGACTGGCTCGGTTTACTACCTGGATAGCTGGCTAGACTGGTTGGGCTTACTACCTGGATGGCTGGCTATACTGGCTGGGTTTACTACCTGGATAGCTGGCTAGACTGGCTGGGTTTAAGGAGTAAGGCCAGGTCCTCCAGGTATTTGATAGAACAGTTGTAGAACCCTACCTCACTCTCAGTCATTTCAGCAACATTCCTAGGGGATGAGTAACTTAGAGAGTAAGAAAAATAAACAAAAAAAAGATTAGGCGCCTGTTTCACATCCATTTATTATTGTTATCAGGCAAAATAAATAACAAGAATGTGGAATATGAATAGGTGAGGATTTTAACTTTTCTAATATAAAAGCCACCGTTTACACATATTATAAAATGACCTGTTCTCTGACCTGTTCATCATGTATAAGCATAGAAATAAGCGAAAAAAAAATGACAATTCTGCTTTGTTGAAAAAATTTAGTAAATCTTGAAGAAATGTTCATGACCTGAATCCGGATCCCTTTTTTTCCAGTGCGTATCCATGATCCGGATCCGCATAAAAATTAATTGGATCTTAACCACTGGTTAGCAGGCAAAATACATAAAAAAACATTGTAGGAGATGATAACTTTACTCATTAACAAGTTGGAGGATTTTTATCTTTAAAATATAAAAGCCCCCTTTAAAATATATTAACCAAGGATGTAATACAAGGAAAATTATTTCAGAAGTGTACACATCTTTTGTACTGCAGTGTACTGTCTCTGGGCGGTAATGTAAACACAAGACGGATGTCAAAGCCTGACATGGATCCATCTTTCACATAAAAATATCAATGAAATATTCTGGTCATAGGAAACTATTATGTGAATTATCAAAATTTAATGCTTTTAACCGCCTCGGATACTAAACGAACACTGATGCATCTATTCTTGTTTACAAATTCCGCCCAAAGAGAACTGGTTTCAATGTGTACGCAGCTTATACACGACCGCAATTAACTTTCCTTGCATTACACCCTTGATATTAACTAACCTATATTGTGGAGGTATATATCCAGAACCAACAAGCTGAAGCAGAGCTGTATTCACGGGTAGCTTGCTCAACTCCAATCCAATTGGATTCTTAACAATCAATCAATCAATCAATCAACCAATCAATAAATAAATCAATAAATCATTCAATCAATTCATCAATAACTAAAACCAATAAAGCCACCAAAAAGATAACAAGCTCAAACCAATCTAATTATACCAAACCAGTCATCTTCAACCAACAAACCAACCACCCAACCAATAAATGGACCTACCAACCAACTAACCAACCAACAAACCTGGTCGAATGGACACTGATTCCGCTGTAGGGATTGAAGACATGTCTGGCAGACTGTATGTCCACAGGACAAAGATATTGGAACACGACCAGTAGTCTTAATAAAATTATAAACATCTGATCAAGGACGTACGTCGTACACTTAGTAATTTTTAAATCTGACAAGTTTTTTTTTCTTAATTAAAAATTATCAATGCCCAAAAAAGTATTTGTTAGCCATCAATTAGCCTTGAAATTTGCCTGAATCTTTTTTAATACAAGTTATATACCCTTAGTAAGACCACAAAATGTATACCCCAGGTAAGATCACAAGTTAAATACCCCCTAGTAAGACCACAAATTGCATACCCCTGGTCAGATCACAAGTTATAAACCCTTAGTAAGACCTCAAATAGTATACCCCTGAGTTATATACCCTTAGTAAGACCTCAAATTGTATACCCCTGAGTTATATTCCCCTAGTAAGACCACAAATTGTATACCCCTGGTAAGATCACAAGTTATAAACCCCTGATAAGACCTAAACTTACCTCAAAATCATTCTGGCAGACAGGACAGGAGAGAAACTCAGACCATTGCGGGGTTTGAACCGGCATTATTACCAGTATACAATTAACCTATTATCAAAGATTTATAACGGTAGCCTTGAAAATCTGTATCTGCTCGATAATATAGAGGATATTGTCATTATTCTAAACTTTAAAAGTGTCAAAATTTATGTTTTACAGCTATAAACCAAAATGGAAAATATTCAGTCAAAGAAAATAAAATTACTCATTGATTAGACAAAGGGTTAGGCTAGGGGGCCGAGCGCTGCGGCCACGGGTTAGGTTAAGTTAGGACACTTCCTGTCAAACCCATGTACAAAATTGATAGGGGTCCAAAAATCGTTCTCTAGGAATATACCCCAGGGTGAATCGGCATCTAATGGTGGGTCACTTATAAGTTACCTGGTTGCCAGGAGGTGATATTACATATCAATTTGATATAGAATAAGGGAGCAAGGAAACATCCCTTGTCTGAAACATAACTTAAGTGCAAAAAGCAATAATTTTATTGACAGATTAAATCTGCTGAGCAGAACAGCGAAGTTTAATTGATGGGAAGGTTTATGGTCTGTAAAATTTGAAACATTTTGAACGGAGATAAATGTCGCCATATTTCATTTAATTAATAAATCAAGTATAACAGAAAAATCCACAAAAAATTAAAATGAACATTGCGATAAAAAAAATTGCCACGTTAATAGCAGGCGCGTAGTGGAGGTAAAGCCTAGGGGGGGGGGTGAACAGGTTTATGCACCCCCCTAACGATTGATCAGCACCCCCTTAAAAATACGTATTCAGAAAAAAAGAAGAAAACACTAGTTTTTCGAGATTTTAATGTGCTCTGAGCTGTGCAAATTAATGATTAACCAGAATTATTAGGTGATATAAAAATCACAGAAATATTGCAGACTGCACATTTATAATTCATGCAAATTATGATTGGTTTTGGACAGAGTTTAGATCACACTTTACGTGGTATACTTCGTCAAAACATGTAACCACAATATTAACAGCTGATTAACCTTTCTCCATATATTAGATAAAAATTATCGAAATGATCATCACGCAACCTCTAATGATAAAATGTCGTCGGTCTTACAGATGTTATTAAGGGTGTCATATCAATTGGACTAATGATCGATTGGACTAACGTGCGTTTGGACTAATCTTTATTTGGAATATAGTACTGTTGAACGAATATTTGTTCAATCGAACTAATTTTTCCATTTTTAAAGAATTATTTCGCGCAGCAATTGTTAATTTTATTGTATTTTACACACAAAAATCAGACAATGTAATCTGAAATTATTATAATTAGGGTTGCCAGGGTTAGGTCAGTTTACGACAATTTCTGGTCCGAGCGCTGCGGATAAGACATGCTTGAGGGGCCGAGTTCTGCAGCTATGACATGCTAGAGGGGCGAGTGACGCGGCTAGGACATGCCAGGACGTGCCGGCACATAATGGTGTCCCACGAAACATGACAGTATGCAGAACGACTTGAATGTCGTCTTGATTTTTGATATATAATTTGCTGCGTTTATTTGTCAACCTAATTTTAGAAGTAAATTTCTAGAGATAATAATCACAAAATTTCCCTTGTCCTGCCATTTCCAAAATGTGGTCTGCCATTTTTGTGCTTTCAATATTGCCCGAGATATGAAGAATTTCGTTAAGATTTCGACAATTTTGCTTTTATTTAACAAAATTGAAATCTGAACCAAACTCTTTATATCTCCGGTAATATTGAAAGCACAAAAAACGCAGACCACTTTTTGGAAATGTCAGGGCTAGGAGAATTATGTGATAATTGTTTCAAGAATCATACATGTTAATTTAGATAGAAGACTAAATGTCACAAATAAATTCAAATACCAAAAACGACTTTCAAGTCGTCTTCCTATTGTCATGTTTCGTGGGACACCCTGTATACGGCCTCAGATCTCTAAAATGATGATGTCATATCCCTACTAACCCAAAACTTAAAATTACGTATGACATACGTATATATACGTATTTTTAGGTTTAGAAATACGTAAAAATACGTATTTTCCATGGCTAACATATTTTTGTAACCATTTCTTTGGTAAAAATACGTATATTTGACAAACCTAAAAAAAATCCAATGAATCAGGAATTTTTAGGTTTTTCATATACGTAGAGTTAGGTTTGAAAAAATCCTAACATTTCTTAATTTTTGGAATTTTTAGGTTTTACCTATACGTAGATTTAGGTTTGAAAAAATCCTAACATTTTTAAATTTTTGAAATTTTTAGGTTTTACCTAAACCTGAAAATACGTATTTTTCAAGTTCTAAAACCAAAATGTTAAGAAGTGGACTATATTTTGCATAGGCATTGTATAGAGGCGTATTCAGGGGGGGGGAATGGGGGCTAAGCCCCCCCTGGACCAGTGATATCTTTTGAATTCAGGGGGTTTTCAGACCCCAACGGGTGCTGAGCTCCTCCCGGAACAGATTCCTGAATGCACCCCATCCTTTATTTCTATACAACTAATTACACAAATTTCTTAAATCCATATTCATTGATATTAAAATTATTTTCAATCCAATCCAGCATTCTGTCTACAGAAATTCACACCATCAACATTCCTTCATCTGTATCCATCTAAATCAACATTCATTTATGCATTTTGTCTGTATTTTCAACAATTTGGATTCAATATGTGTTATACTTTATACAATTACCATGTTACCTGTTACAAGACTATCAAAGTAAGACTTCTATTTATCAAAAAATCGAGAATTTACTGACATTGATTCTAATGAAAACATCAATTTACTCAAAAATGATAGCAATTTTGAAACATTGCATTTTCCAAAATGTTTGCATTAAATTTATTACAGAACAATTCTCTTCAAAAGAGTACAAAATATTTTCAAATTCTAGCTTAAAAATGCATTTTTGTGCAGTTCAGGTTTCGTGAATAGAAAATTTACTTGGTATGAAATTTACGAAAATATACGTATTTTTAAGTTTGCTTCAAATTTATAACTCTAAAAAAATTAAGTAAAGAAAATTACGTACAGTAAAAACCTAAAAACTTACTAGGTGTGAAATTTACAAAAAAAAATACGTATTTTAAGATTTGCATCAAACTTTTAAAATATAATTTTTAGGTAAAGAAAAAACCTAAAAAAGTACGTAAAATACATAAAATATAAACCTAAAAACTTTGAAAACTTCTTGGTATGCAATGTATAAAAATATACATATTTTAAGGTTTGCATCAAACTTTCAAACTCTAAAAGATACAACTTTTTAAGTAAAGAAAAACCCCCAAAAATACGTAAACAAAAACTTGAAAACTTTGAAACATTTCTTGGTATGAAGTTTACGAAATTATACGTATTTTTTGGTTTGCAGCAAACTTTCAAACTCTAAAAAGAATACAATTTTTTAAGTAAAGAAAAAACCTAAAAAATACGTAAAAATATGTAAAATAAAAACCTAAAAGCTTTGAAACATTTTTTGGTATGAAATTTATGAAAACATACATATTTTTAGGTTTGCATCAAACTTTTAAACTCTGAAAATAATACATTTTTAAGGGAAAAGAAAAAGAAAGAAAAGGAGAAAGAAAAAACATAAGGAGAAAGAAAAAACATAAAAAATACGTAAAATAAAAACCTAAAAACTTTGAAAAATTTCTTGGTATGAAATTTACGAAATTATACATATTTTTAGGTTTGCATCAAACTTTTAAACTCTGAAAATAATACAATTTTTTAAGTAAAGAAAAAACCTAAAAAATACGTAAAAATACCTGGAATAAAAACTTAAAAACTTTGAAACAGTGCTTGGTATGAAATTTACGAAAATGTACGTATTTTTAGGTTTGAACCAAACTTTCAACTCTAAAAAAATACAACTTTTTAAGTAAAGAAAAACCCTAAAAATATATAAAAATACGTAAAATTAAAAATTAAAAAATTTAGAAAAATTACTTGGTAATATTGGTATGCGTAATTTTTTGTATAAATAGGTTTTTGGAAACCCAAAGCATTTAGAAAAATTGCTTGGTATGATAAATACGTGAAAATACGTAAATATACGTAAGTTTTTAACCCAAAAGTTGAGCATACCCATACGTATTTATACGTAAAAATACCTATTTATACATATAGAGACTTCGGTATTTTTAGGTTTTCGGGTTAGTAGGGATCTGTTAGAATACATTATTTAAAAAAAATTTTTTAAATTATTTCATTTGAAAATTTAATAAATTTTTATTTTGTTCATTTAAGTATAACGTTCGAATGGACTAAAAATCGGTTTGAGAACAGCTGACTTTAGTTCAATTGTACGTTAGTTCTATTGAGTATTGGCTGATAGTCTTATCAATATAGCATCAAATTAAGACCATCATTGTGAAAATACCTGCAGGACTAGGAGAATTTGTGGTTATTGTTTTAAGAATTCATTTCAAAGTAGGTTGACGACTGAATGTCACAATTAAATTCCAATATCAAATACGACTTTCAGGCAATTGAACTACTTCAACTACTTGCCGCAGAGCTATGAAATCAGTGGCGTACGAGGGGGGGCCCCCCCCCATACGCGTGTACCCCCTGAGAGGCTGAGGGGGGCCACCCATGGGGGAGGCTCTTTTAATCATATGCTTGCAGTTCCCTTCCTCAGGCCAGGCACAGTGGCGTACCTAGGGGGGCAGTAGTCCTCTAGTGCCCCCCGGGAGTTCCAGGGGAGGCCCTGCTCCCCCTGGAAAATACAAAATTAAAAGGAAACTAGGTTTAAAAAGTAACACCTGACAATGAAAAAGAATAAGGATTTGTCTAAATTCACTGTTAATAAAAAGAGAGAAAAGTTTTAACCTTCTAAAGAGATTACTTCATTACACAAGATGTACATGACGGAGAGCAGACTTTACGATCATGCACTTATAGCCTTACACCCTATAAGGCTGTCTGAGCTCTCTTCTGAGAAAATCATTGAAATGTCTGTGCAAGCAAATCCCAGAAAAAATAAGCCTAAAAGAGTTGGTGAATATGTAGATTGAGTAAATTATATCTAAAAATTTCAGAAGAAATTTCGTTTATTAGTGAAAATATCATTTTTAATGATGCTGTGATTATTGATTTAGTTAGCTGTGATGGAGTTAAGTGATAAATTTATAAAGTTAAAAAGTTAGTTTTTCAAGCAAAGGAATAGACTCTTTAAGGTTAGTAACACCCAAAAATTGTATATTTTTATGGTAAACAAAACAATTCATTTTAAAGAACTTAAGTTCCTTTTTACCTATTCAAGTTTACAGACCACAGTTTCATGACCCTCACAAAATATTAAATCTCTTTTTACAGAAATTTATTTCTTTTTTAACGTTTGCAATTAATGGTTTCAAGACCCTCACATATTATTGTATTATTGTAAATATTATATCTCTTCTTAAATAACTTTATTTCCTTTATAATTTGTGCTAATCGCGTATTGTTTTAATCTTAGCCCAAAGTGATGCTTTAAAAAAA